CGGGACACCCCTAGGACACCCCCGGCGCAGCCCCGGCACACCCCCGGAGCACCCCCGGGGCACCCACAGGGCACCCCCGGGGCAACTTCAGGCCACCCCCAGGAGACCCCCAGGAGACGCCCAGGAGACCCCCGGGACACCCTCGGGGGCACCCCGGGACACCCCCGGGGCACCCCGAGACACCCCCGGGGCACACTCGGTGCACCCCCGGGACACCCTCGGCGCACCCCTAGGACACCCCCGAGGCTCCCCTGGGACACCCCCAGGGCAACCCTGGGAGACCCCCAGGGCAACCCCGGGACACTGTCGGGACTTGTTCGTGACTCCAAACATGCCTAAGAGTGTTGCAAGTTGCTCGTTAATTATATAGAATTATGAAACTACTGAAAAAAAATTTCCTCAAGAAGCTTGTCAGACCCGTTTGGAACCCGTACCCAAAAATAAAGAACAACCCATTGAAAAGAGCTTAAGAGAAAAATATTTGGAGAATTATTTTGGAGAATTTTAGGGTTGTTTTTAGGATTAATTTACTTAGATTTTTAGGATTTTGTTTTAAGAGAAAAAATATTGTGAAAATTTAAGATTGGAGAGTTTGGAGAATTGTTATACCTCTGCATGAGTTTTTCTTTGTAATTCTCCTAACTCTATTTTTTTGTGAGTTGAGATGTTAGAACTCTTGACTTTTTATATTTTTATTATGTTTTTGAGTTTTCTTGCTAGAGATAAGATGTAGCCTAATCATGATTTTAATTTCTTTTATTTAAATTATTCATGTTTATTTTAATTTTTCACCGTTCTTAATGCTTTTAAAAAACTAATCACTATTTAGATGAATTGTTAATCATAATAAAATTGGAAAGGGGCTTACGTGCCAAGTTCATCGTCCTCCATAAGTCATAGAGTGTCAATTCTCATATCAGATCGCAAAACCCAAGGTCTGCCGCTTTGCCACCCAAACCTCAACACAAATCCCCAAGATCGCGATGTAAACAAGATCGCAACTCCTTTGGTGTCGCCCTTCTTGACACTAGTCATCATCGAGAGCGTTGGTTCAAACAATGCTCGGCGTGACTCAATTCACCATTCGTCAGAAACCCTATGTTCAATGCTTAGATTTAATCGCTACTGACCCCAACCAGATCATAACCCTTTTATCGTCTGTCACTTGCCGATGCTGCCCTTTTAGTTTTCCCAATTTGGTTACATCAGCCAAGAAAACTCGCATGGTTTAGTTTGCAGGCCTCCAAAAACATTAGCATCAGAATCCTTAGGTCTTGTCTTTCCCACATCTGAGTTCGTCTCTACTGATTTTGTTGCCTTAGCTTTGCGGTTGTGCTTCTCAATAGATAAATAATTCACTTCATACTTTGAAGCGTCAATTGTTGGATCCTTAATCCAACGTTGGACTTATATGTGAATAATAATGTGTTGCGGACTGTCATATAAGGTTAAGCCCAATTAAAAGTGATCTACTAAGATTTGGGTATTTTGGGCTTTAATGTATTTAATAGGGTGTGAGCTTTTAATGTGTAGAGACTTAAGGGTGATTTCTATTTTTATAGTAGGCTAAAATAAAAATACCAAAAGAGAGTAGGGAAGTTATCTATATATAACGGTTATGATCCCCAAATCGCACGTTACATTCTATTCCTTCTGACATCCCATCATCCGAGAGAGTACAGAGAGAAAGTTAAAGGATTTTCTAGGAAAACGTGTTGATCTGGAAGACAAACTGCACAAGTCTAGAGAGAAATCAGTCGATATGGATTCAGGTACGCTTCCGCTTACAAATTTATTAATTCTTGATGATCTGACATGAATGTTCTTGACTTTTAGGTGATGGTTTTCACCAAATCATTGATTACTAACATCAATTCCAAATTCTTCTCCATTGATCCCATTCACGCACGCCCAAGAAAGTGTTTTGATATCAATTGATAGGAACTTAACTTGAAAAGAGCAATTGAATAGAAAACTAGCTCTACATTAATGAAGTAATTAAAAGCTTACAAAGAAATAACAATGGTGGTATACGAGAGACCACCCGCTCTCCCAAAGTTTTTCCAAATTTTCCACAAATCAGACCTGTTTCTCTAACCACTAATCCCTCCCTTAATCAACATAAACCCCTAAAACGGTCTAACATTATTCCCAACAGATTACACTGTTATCAACTAGCCAAACTAACTTCTAGGAGCCTATCAAGATGAGAGTTCAAACTTATTAATATCTATAATAGTTAATTGATATGATAACAATAGCCGAAAGGGAAGCCAAACAGAACAACAAGAACATATTCCACAACAAATAAGGAATCGGGTAGTGTCATGGCATAGAGATAGTCTGTCAAATGCGTCTTTAAACATGGATGACCTAAACAAAGAAATTAGTAGCCAAAATTCTTGACTGCAAAAATTTTAAGCATCCAAAATCTTGCAAAACTAGCAAATTTGTCATGCCAACTACATTTCAACCGATCTAGGAAAAGAAAGCAGTTTGCATACCCATAGTTGTGTGCATACCCATAGTTGTGTGTGTGTGTGTGAACTCCAAAAGAAGAATGATAAATAATGGAATCACAGGTACACATAAAGATTGGTGTATAGCAACCAATGCAGCGCCATGGATTTTTTTTCTTGGTAGAGTACTATTCCAAAAATGCCAAGTGTTCAAGATATTTGATTTATTAAAGGCAGCGTAAAAATGATGGGTAACAGTTAAACCTAGTAAGTGAAGAGAAAAGAAAAAATGGAAATCTTCCGCAAAAATACCTCTGGCTTTAGGTCATGGATAATGACACCATGGCAATGACAGAAATAAAATGCACTCAAAATCTAAACCATAACAGCAATTGCATCTTCTTCAAAATATTTTCCACCCTTTATGAAGATAACAAAAACATAGGTAGTAAGAAAAGCGAGAAAAAGCCCAACATATTAGGTGAAATTCCAGCATAAGAAAAAAAAAGGGAAGATAGAGTAATCCACTAAGGTAACTATTCGCTGACAGAGGCAGTATTTTATTCCAGCCAATACTTTAGTCCTGCGGTGTATAGCAATTGTTGTCATCGTATACAAAAACATCTTTCATGAGAAGCAAATTGATGGTTTCAAGGTCTATTTTTACAAATAAATTGTATTAACAATTGCGAATCTCGTACTTCAATCCAAAGAATATGGAAGGTAGTTTTTACCGAGGATCGATTACTAATAGGTTCACAAACAATATTACTTATTTTCTCAAGTTGAACCAAAACAAACGTCGAAGCCAATGCTCATTTTGGTTGATAGAAATCACCTATGTTTCAACAGTTTCACAAAAGTAAGCCATCATACAGATATAGATGCTCTCATGAACATATATGAACCAGAGCATAATCTATCATACGCAAATCATAGTGCCTGTGCACATACATCTGATATGCAATAAAACACTATCTTTTACACATACTAGCATAATTTTCAATACCACCCTTTACCCGTAGAGTATAACATATACAATCCACCATTAAGTTGACAAAGTAGAAATAGACTTTAGAGTTCAAAACTGTTGGAAAAAGTCAAAGTTCGAGGTCAAGTTTTCTCACTCTTTGAAGAAACTACCATATATAAATTGCTACCATCATCAAAGTTCAAGAAGAAACCACAAGAACTGGCAAATAGAAACTCACATTTAAATTATATATAACTGAATGAACTTGCTAAACAGAAACCAGATTATAAACGTTCCAAAACCAATTAAAAAGAATGAATTTTGATTTTACTCTTCAGCAAGATCATAATGAGCTCCAAACTGCATGGAGAACTCAAAATTCTTGTCCAAACAAATATCACAATAACTTCTCTAAAGTATCGAGGGAAACAACAAAGATGAAGGTTTTCAATTTCACCTGAACAGAATTGGTGACAAAGTGATAAAGGATTTATTTCATACAGAACTCAAAACAAAGATGGTGAGTGTGCTCAATCCGGCAGGTCTCTCTTTGATAAATTACCTAATTGTATTTCTTCTTTTCTTCCTCTTCTTCAACAAATGTTTAAACAGATATTTATCTGTGTTTTATAGTGTTCTATTTTAGCTTCTAGACTATCCTATTTGGATTTGGATTGCCTACGTAAAAATAAAGTTTATTGAATGAGTTGCAAAATATTGGAATTATCCCTTACTTAATTTCTTCATTTTCTCTCCCTGCAATTCATTCTGTGGGTACAAAAGATGGTTTTCGCATATGATAGTTTGATTACCTGCAACATTTTCAATGAGCTGCATATTTCAAATTGTAAACAACACATTTAGCCAATAGAAAAAAAAAATAAAAAAAAATAAAAACTTCCTTCTTTCGTAGATTTATGAAGAAGCAATCAATACTTTCTACAGTGATAACAAATTCATGAATACACACTGTCTAGAAAATGAAAGAATGAACTGAGTCATCACAACAACCAAATCTAAATTTAGGGAAAAAAATGAATAAGGAAACAAAAATAAGTAAATGAAACAATAAACCACTCATATCCTCAGGTATGAAGCAAGAAATTCACAAACCCTAACTTGTAACTTAGAAAAAAATGTAGAGCTTTATTATTATATATGTTCAATGATACTATACAAAATTGTCTTTAAGAAAGAGAAACCGATAGCAAGAGAACTGAAACATTTCAATCAATTTTCAAATACAACGATAACCTCAAACCATCAAGGCAAAGAGTAAGAACAGTAAAAAAATAAAATAAAAATGAAGATATAAAAAATAAAGTTTACACAACTTCTTGAGAAGTGCAAGGATTTTGGGAAAATATGAAGAAAAGAGAAATGAACCTGTAAATCTTCAAAGCTGATGGTTCATGGATTGCTTGCTAAGAATCTTCCAAAACCGCCAATGGAGGCCACATTTTGGAATCACTACTGTCAAAAAAAGAAACGAATAATTGTTTATGAGATTTTGTTACATTACTTAAATATTTTGCTCAAAGACATATTCTCTCATGAAACACCAAAAGGACCAAAAGGTAAGATTTGTTGTGCTCAAAAGGTATGATTCGTTGGTATGAATTGTTTAAGCAGCATGAAGGCTTCAATTTTAATTCCAAAGGTAGTGTTGCCTGTATATCCCAGCTTCTTTGTGGAAAATATTCAGTGAAGATAAATTTAAGAAGAAAAATGGTTTATTATAACATTAGAAATAATCAATGATTAAAAGAGGGGAAACATCTAAACAAGAATGACGTAAGTTCCGACGAAATAATCAATGGTGGAAGAGTGACCTAGAGACGTTGAATCCTTCGAGGACTGCTGAGGAGCGGCGGAGGAACTAATTGCAAAGACGGAAGTTCCGACGAATCGCCGGCAGAGAGCGGCGTCGAGGCGGCGGTGGAAGCTTTTAGAGTCGAAGAAGGATAGCTGAGAGAGCTGCGGTCTGAGAACCGAATCGACATGGCTCTTCTTTTCAAGCTTTTGGAAGAGAGAGAGAGTTGAACAAAAGTTATCAGAAATGAAATTAAGAAGAAAAAAGAAACACAGTAAGCACATTTTGAAGAGAAAACAAACTTAAAGGATGACAATGGTGGAATTGAAAATGAAAATTCGTTTGAAACGTATTTTCTCATACCACAGAAACGTACGAAGATCGTCAGATCGGCTCCTTCGGTCATGTTGATCGTGACAATGGAGGAAAAAGGAAGTTAGAGCGAGAGAGAGAAATCGGCGACGAAGCAGATCGGTGAGAGCGCCGGATCCTTCCAAATAGAAAATTGTCTCCGGTCCCTTCCCATCGATTGTCGGAGAAAATTTCTGGTGATCCTTCTTGCAAATTGACAGTGAATCCCTTGCTGAAGAGAGGTGAGACAGAGATAGATGACCGGTGAGGAACATCGGGCGGCGAAACTCTCCGGTGAAGGCGAGGATGAGATATGGCCGACGATGGAGCCTAACGGCAATGGAGGCAAAGGGGAGAGAGAGAGAGAGAGTAGATGGATTTGGGATCGGTGGTTTTGGGACAACTGAACGATTTTCAAGCTACTAGCCGTTTTACATTAGCAGAAAAGCGACTAGCCGTTTTACATTTAACAGTCAGCACTCAGCAGAAAAAGTTACTAGCTGTTTATTTATTTATTTATTTATTTTTCTTTTTGGAATTTTGAATTTTGAATTTTGAAAGGGGGTATTTAAAGTTTAACCACTAGACAAGTCAATATTGTAGATTCACAAGTTAATACCCGTAATTACTGCATAATAAAAGTTAATTACAATAATTAGTGATTTTCTGACGTAGTCCTCCTTATTCCGGACTACCGATAGGCTTTGTTTATATCACTTGTTTGATTAAAATACAACGGTTTATAGGCTAAAGTTACTTCTTTACTGTTATTTTACGCGTTTTATTTGAATTTATTTGCTTTTGAAAAAAAAAATTGAAAACTCTCCCATTTAACTCTTTATCTCTTTTTCAAATCTTTATTTGGGTTGTTTTTGTCCGATGTTCATCTTCAAGATATATTAAAATCTCATTCAGTTAGCAGATTCAAGTTATCTCTAGTTGTTTTCTTCTTTCAAGTCTACAATTCCATTTTCTCACAATCATCATAGATACAAAATAAATAAACAACTTTTTTGATTTTCTTTAGGAGGGATCGAAGTTCTTGTTTAGCTTCAGTCTTTCACTGTCGACCTTGTCGCCGGCTTCGATAGAGTTAGAGGACACGCTTGCGGTCCTCATTGCAAGAGGAACAATATTTAGGATCCATTTTGTTTACTGATATGAACCTATGGATGGAGGGACAATGGGACCAATGAGAGCACGGCCCCCCACTGAAAAAGCAAAAAAATATTTACTCTCCTATGACTTCTATGTGTTCATATCTTATATAACAGTTGTGTCCCCACTAATATCTCGTTGTAAGTTTTTTTTAAGGAAAAATAGACTTTTTCACACCTTAATTTTGGGCTTTCTTGATTTTTTATACCTGGGCATTTGACTTGCTTTTAAAATGAATTCATATAGTAGAAAATAGAAACTAAGAAGTTATTAATAAAATAATCTTACATCTTTTCAACTTTTTTCTTACTCTCCTTTTCTATTTTCTTTATTCTCTGCTGCAAACTACAACTCTATTTCTCACTTTCCTTTTTTCTATGTAATGGTTTTATCTTTTCTCGTATTGTGATTCTCTCTCTAATCTCTTGGTAATTTAGTATAACTAATCTCATGGTAATTTTTTTTACTATGCATAATATTATAAGATGAAGACATTTTTAATAGCACTGATAATGAAGATAATGTGCAACGGTATGAGAACTAGAGAATAATTTGAATATCAACCTTACTTAATAATATTTTATTACATAAAAAATTATTTTAATTTATTTTATATCATGTTAATTTTTAACTTTTGTCTTTATTTGTGCTCTTCCTGAATTAAGAGTTCAGCTACGTCCATGTTTGAATCTACAATTTTAATTTGGCTATCGCACAAAAAATTTAAATAAAAAAAGTTCATGTCAATAGGTTCTCTTGAACCAAATGGCTATTACTTTATAAGTTTTCATTTCATACAACACCCATCTTTCTTTCAAAACTTTTGAGCATTTTTTCTTCTATCATCGATTTCAGCATATGGGTCTCTCCTTTTAGTCAGTTTTTTTTTTTTCAGACACTGAGCATTACATTGTGTTCTTCGTCCATGGTATTTCTGAGTTGCTGTTAATGATCAAATTTAAAATTATTTAATTATTTAATGGATTTAAAAAAACGTATTTAATGATCGCATTGTAAATAAAAAGTTCATAACACACAATTTCATGTGGTGAGTTAAAAAAATTTTGAAACAATAATGTCTTTTTGACAGTGCAATTTTGATCTTACTGATTCTTAACAACGTGCTCTATTAGAACAACAAAGAGTATCCTACCATAGAAACTCTATTCTTTAATAGGTTTAGTTAGCTCTAAAATAAGAACTCTTAAAAAGGTCTACCAGTAGAACATCATGTTTTGGCCGTTTACTTTTTCAACAGTCAGATCTGTAAATAAAATTGTTGGGACATATGCCCATAAATCAAATAAGATGTAAATATTTTGCTGATTATCAATGAAATGGGGAATTTTTTCAATATTATTTTGCATACATGTGATGTTTTATAAATATCAAAATCCCTAGATTATTTTTTTATGTAACTTTAAACATTGTATATAATTGTTATATGCAGAGGATAATATTTGAAATAAAATAATCTAAACTTGTCCGTAATTATAAATTAAAGTTGGGATCTTTAATTTAAAATTACTAATGCAGTTCATTACATTCTGAATGAAACAATCTTATCCTAGATTGTTAATAATGAGATTATTGGAATGAAAGCATTTTATGTAATATGATTACATAGGACCGGAACGCGATTAATTATGAATCTCTAATAAATTCCATTATTAAATAGAGTATTCAATATTAATCAATTATGGTCATATATGAATTAATCTTAATTCTGAGTAATTAATAAACTCATATTATGATATTATGTTCTTTGACATATTGAGTAATGACACATATGAATAGTGTCGAAGTCTTGGTATATTGGGAGCATAGTAAAATAAATAGTCGGGAATATTAATTTACAAGATGAAATCTATTCCTTCATAATGAAGTAAATGGACGGTTCCCATAAGTGTTGATTCGGGACTTGAATAATAAGAGCGCTCAATTTTATGATTGGATCATAAAATATATTATTCATTAGAGGATCAATGGTACTTATGGAGAAAGATATAATTAAAGAGGTTAACGGAAAATACCTAGCTTTAATTATGAACCATTTATGGAGGATTAATTCGTATGTAGTGACTATATCAATGGACAACACAAATTCCGTGAACATAATTGTTTTATTATTTTAAGAGTGCAATTCTAAATTTATAGTGGAGTAATTTTGAATTAATAATTTTGATCTATTAATTAAGGTGTTAATTAATTGTCAAAATTGTTGGAGTTTAAAATTATAATGTCCATAGTTCCTCTCAATGGCTCCATAAGATTAATGGGAACTGAATATATCATATTGTGTTATGATTATTAATTTAGAATTAAAAATTCTAAATACACATATATTAATTAATTCGATTAATCAATATTCAAATTAATTTAAAATTGTTTTAAATTAATATGGATGAATTGTTGGTCTCCGAATCGAATTCGGATGCGGAAGCGTGGGGGGGAGCGGATCGTGTATAACAAAAATTTTCATAAAACCTTTAAGATACTCTATAGATTATATTAATTTATGCACGAATAAATTAATCTTATTAATTTATTTATTACGAACTCAATTACGAATAATACCTGGCGGCTGATTGGGATGATTGATGAGTGAGTTTTACTCGCTCATTTAGTATCATTTTACACTTAATATCTAGTTGGTTTTCAAGGTTTTTGTTAGTTTTTATGTGTGTTCTTGTTCTTTGTTTGAAGGTTAGGTGAAAGTCTATGATTTGGAAGGTTTTGGACAAATTTCGCTGAAATCTGACGGAATTAGTGCATTGGGGCAGAATGGGCAGCGCTTAGGCGCCCATGACAGCGCCGCAACGCCCAGGATTTTACACAGTAGCGCCGTAGCACTAGGAACTCAGCGCCGCGGCGCTACGACACGAGAAAAGACGCGTTTTGAAGGCCAATCACGAGAAAACTTACCCGTTTTGACCCTAATGCTTGGAAACATATAAATAGATGATTCTAGGGCAATTAGAGAAGACTTTAGACTGTGGAATGACGGCTGGCTTTTGAGAGAGTATTCAAGAGAAGAAAAGGAGAATTGGGACGGAGAAGAAGAACGGCTCAAATCCGGAGACGGAGACGCTTCAATTCAACTCCAAACTAGTTCTTTTCTTTCCTTTCCAATGATTAAGACTTTGTTTAGGAATTTATTTTGTTTAGAGATGAACTAATTCCTTTTTCTAGGGCTACGATGTAGCCGGATTATGAATGTTC